CACCACAGGTATCGAAACCCGGTTTCTAGTGTTGTAAGTCCGCAGACATACCGATTTATATAACAATGTTAATACTGCATACAATATCTAAGACAGGCATATCAAAGTAAATCTTACAAATATCTGTGTATATGGAAGACAGTACCGGATGACATGAACCTTTTTATATATAAGTAGTACAAAGTTACCAAATAACAACTTACACTTTTAAAAATCATTCATCGTTAAAAGTGACAGCGGCCTTTGCTTGTTCACGCTGTCTTTTGTAATAAATGTATATCTTTTTTTATGTTAATTTTATCAAAAAGTCCCTCAGTGTTTCAATAGTAAGCTTGCCACATTGGACTATCTGTTGTGTCTCCCGCGGGGGAAACAACTCCCGGACTTTAGCGTTGTAAGTCTTTAGACTTACCGCTGTCCCCTTGGGAGACATAAGCAGTAAGTTTATGGATTTACAAGACTAAATTTCAGGGTTCAATTTCCCGCAGAAGCCTAGTTTTGTAGCCTTGCGCTAAAACAGATAAAAAATAACAATCTTTTTAAAAAAAAGACCAAATGAAAAAAAGAATCTTAGAAAAATTCAAAATATAACTTTGTTTGTTTGTTTGTTGGATTTCGCACAAAACTACACGAGGACTACCTGCGTTAAACGTTTGTAAATTTGATGTGATAGACCAGAGGGAAAACAGCTAGCTAGTAACAGGACCCACCGATCATTCTTGAGATACTCTTATCAGACTGAATGATGGGATTTAACCGTAATTCTATATTAAACTCTGCAGGCGAACTTGGGAGTTGTCGTTATAGCCTCCCTACTGAATGGAGCTAAAATGCGCCCGGAAAGTCAACCAGGCACGATGGGTAAAACTCGAATCTGGCATCAGACTTTCTGTTCCTCCCCTATATTTAAAACTGTTTTCATACCCCCACTGAGTGGTACTAAACATAGCCCACGTGTTCATATACCACTGACGGGTGTCCAAACGGGGTTTGTTTTCGGGTACTGATCCTCACCCCTTCTGGGAAAACTTTAAGAGTAATTTGAGTTAGAAAATGAGTTTGATCAGTATAATGGGGTCTGTGAACCCTGCAGCTAGAGCTCGGGTATTTTATGTTGATTCTTATAATGCGACCACTGCGGGTATTTTATGTAAGTTCTTATAATATAACCGCTGCGGGTATTTTATGTTAGTTCTTATAATGCAACCACTGCGGGTATTTTATGTTAGTTCTTATAATGCAACCACTGCGGGTATTTTATGTTAGTTCTTATAATGCAACCACTGCGGGTATTTTATGTTAGTTCTTATAATGCAACCACTGCGGGTATTTTATGTTAGTTCTTATAATGCAACCACTGCGGGTATTTTATGTTAGTTCTTATAATGCAACCACTGCGGGTATTTTATGTTAGTTCTTATAATGCAACCACTGCGCCAAGTGTGAAGTGCGAAATTCTTTATTTATATTTGTTTCTTATTTCGCGATAAAAAAGCTAGAAGAACAAAACCTCAGCTTCACATTGGGTACGCTAACAAACGGGAGACGCTAGGTCCTCGAAATACTTCACATATTTAAGTATGCCTTTAAATTATTTCTTTTTGTGTTTGTGTGTGAAAGTAATGTATACGTTCTCATCCAAACTTTTAAAAATCATTGTTGGTAGCACACCGTAAAAACTGAATTTTTTTTTCTGCCAATGGCATGGTGGTTAGGGCACTCGACTCGCAATCTGTAGGGTGCGGGTTCGAATCCCCATCACCGAATAAGGTCTCTCTTTCAACCGTGGGGGCGTTATAGTGTGACGGTCAATCCCACTATTCGTTGGTAATAGAAGATGTTGTTTTACTTTTAGTCTATAACTTTTAAATTAAGGACGGCTACCAATGCGAGAAATTCAAACAAGTATTGTATTTCAAAGGAGTTTTTTTTTTACAACTTAACAATATAGTATCTCTGGTGAACAAAAGGAAAGTGAGGAGACATTATAAACCCTCAGGCTACAAATTATCGGAGTAATGCTAGAGGCTCTTCTTTTGACCCGGATTTCATTTTTTAGGTCAGGAAAAAAGAAAAAAGGACTTGTAAGTGGTAAAGTTTTACTGGAATGAAAAGTGGCATGTGTTTTTGTTACGTAACTAATAGGTTAAGGTGGGAGGATTAAGCAACTTTATACACGATGTCTTATTTTGAGATAATACATCAGCTCAAGTTTGAAAACATACAAAATTCGTAGTCTTTTTAACAAACTCTTCTATCATCGATAAATGAAATTATATGAAATAGGTATTCTATATAGTGGTGTATTTAAGTGTTTTACACTCACAAAAAAAGAAACCTATC